AAAAAAAAAAGAATGTTTTGTTTTAAAATCCAAAGTTAAAGTTACAAGAACCTCTTGAAGTAAAATTACCTCACAAAGTACCATTTTAAAGGTCATGGTACTATTTCCTAAGACTTTTCTGGTAAGACTGGGGTGTTAAAAATAGACAATCCCAATGGACACCCACAGTCTCACCAGCTTGACTGCCTGAACGTGAGCTGAACAAGGACAACAATGGATGAGCTAATGTGGAAAGAGAAAGCTCACTGGGCTTCAACCCTCCACAAAGAACCACAGGCAACTAAGGCATGCTGGGAGTGGGAGGAATAGTCTTCCCCAAGGAAGACACAGCAATGGGTTATCCAATACCAAATGGTCAGTCCTGAAAGCATACACAGAAGTAACATTATGCAGCTTATGGTTTCATATATATGTGTGTGTGTGTGTGTGTGTATGTATATATACATATATATACATACACATATATATATGTATATATATGCATGTATATGTGTGTGTGTATATATATATATATATATATATATATATATGCATGAGAACCTGAGTTTCAATCGCCAGAACTCCTGTCCAAAGCCAGGCTAGGTGGCATGTATCAGCAACCCAGCACTGGGTGGGCAGAGCCTGCTAGCCAGCCAGCCAGTAGCTAAATATAAGAGGTAAAGAAAGGTTCTGTTAGAGACTCTGTCTCTCAAAATAAGGAGGGGAAGCAACTGAGGAAGATACCCACCCAATATTAACCTCCTGACCTCCACATGTACCCCCCTGCACATGTGTATACACCATGCACACGCACGCACGTGGATAAAGACTCTCAAGCCAAACATTAAAGAAGCAATATAAGAACATTTCCTCCACTGAGATCCTAATGCAAGTAGGCTGGGTGTAGCTTGGAAGTAAGGGTCTCACCAGCTCCCAGGCTCAGTCTTCCCTGCAGCAGAGGTTGAAACACACTGCTGTTCACTGGCTAACTACTGACATGGTACTGAGGCTGAGGTACCTATAGTCAAACTTATCACCATTACTGGAAAAACACTAAAATGGCAGTAGGTGCTTTGTTTTGTTTTCAATGACGTATAGCACTAGCCATTTGCTGGGAAGATGGCTCAGTGGGTAAAGCCTGGGCTCAAATCCCCTAAATCTGTGAAATCCTACAGCGAGACAGGAAGAATGCCCAGATCGTGAGCCAGCTAGCCTGGCATGCGGAACACAGCGCAACAAGAGATTTTGTCAGAAATGCAGAAGGTGAGGACTGACAAACAAGGCTGTCCTCTGATTTCCACACACGTGACATGGCACACACACCAGCGTGCACACATACATACACACACACACACACACACACACACACACACACACACACTGGACTAGCGCACTGGGGAGAAACTGGTGTCTTTAGCACTGCTGGGTGGGAATGTAAAGGGGCAGCCATTTTCAAAAGCAGTTTGGTAAGTTCTAAAAAACCAAAACATAAACCCACCACCTGCCTCAGCAGGGCGGCTCCCAGGAATCTACGCAGAAGACATGAAGATGACATGAATCCACACAGACTCGTATACAGCATTCCGAGGATGGAAGCAACCGGACATCAACAACTGGTCACAGGTACACAAACTGCAGTTATGTATGCCATGGAGAACTATTCAGAGGAACTCAGCCTTAACACACAACCCAGATGAACTTCAAAAATGTTTAGCTAAATGAAGGAAGCCAGATGTAGAACTTATGTACAGAACAAGCCCACTCTGTAGCAGGCCCAGGGTGGCACATGTATAGACAAAGGCAGGATATGGCATTCTGGGAGGAGTGTGGTGGGTTCTGATTCCAGTCAGATTTGAGGGAGCTAGGGTGATAAAGATGTTCTAAAACTGGACCATACAAGATAAGATACTTGTACTGCTATAAATGTACTAAAAGTCACTGTATTTCCTTTCTTTGGGGAGAAAGGTTTTTTGATCTTTGTTTTGTTTTATTTTGTTTTTTTGAGACAGGGTTCCTCTGTGGAGCCTTGGCTGTCCTGGAACTCACCTCTGTAGACCAGGCCAGCCTCGAACTCAGAAATTCGCCTGCCTCTGCTTCCTGAATGCTGGGATTAAAGGCGTGCGCCACCACCGCCCGGTGGCAAGGTAAGGTCTTAAGATGCAGCTCAGGCTAACACTGAACTAGCTATCCTTCAGACCCATCCTCTCCAGCACTGGGATTAGATGTATGCACCCACCATGCCAGGCTCAAAGTCACTGAATTATAGGTGCAAGCATGTAGTAATTATGTGCTGAAAATTACTTTGTGATTGGGGAAGACAGTCCTGGGATAGAACACAGGTTCTCCAGGTAGATGAGTGTTCTACCAAAACAAAACAAACAAACAAACAAAAAACCCTCAGTCACAGAGGAAAGAAGGGGGCCTTGCTTATTCCCCTATATGCCATGCCTTCTTCATTTCCTTATAGTAACCTCCAAAAGCATTTAGAACTTTAGGATCCAGCAGGTAGGATTAATCAGACACTGCTTGGCTCCTTCCCTGAGATGGTGACCTCGGAGGGAGTCCCAAGTCCCAGGCTGTGAACACTCTCCAGTGCAAACACCTGCAGCTATCTGAACTCGAAGGCACCCCCAGTTTGCAGGCACGATGACAGGCCCTTTCTCCGGGAGTGTTTACTCTATAAACAACAGGAAAAGAGAGAACTAGCCCAGCTTCCCAGGAAAGACCTCCCTGCCACACATAGATTCAACTTCAAACACTTCAAGAGCCCAAGTGCACAGACCTCTATCAAGAAAAGAAATGTCCCATTACCATGAAGATTTGTTACCAAGAAGTAACAAATGACACTCTGTGACAAATGTCCCTCTGAACTAAAATGACTGTTTCAGACTCGCTGCTCCAAAACCAGCAAAGCTGTGCATGTGACTTCCCTCTTTCACCATAACCTGAGCATTTCTTTCACTTTTCTTAATTTGTTACATGTATTTACTTATTATGTGTGTATGAGATAAAGAACACTCCACTGTGAGCCATGGCACACATATAGTGGTCAGACAACAATACGCAGGGGTCAGTTCTCTCTTTCCACTGTGGGTTCTGGGGATCCAACTCAGGTCATCAGGTTAACTCCAAAGGCCTTGCTGGCTCTACTGTTTTCTTTTTTTAATTTTGCATTGTTGTTGTTCTTCTTATTATTGTTGTTATTGCCATTACTTTTATTTTGAGATGGGTGTCTTCCAGCAGGCTATGTAGGCGAGGATGACCTGGCTCTTCCTACCTCCACGGAGTCCGGAACCACACCCCAGCACACCAGGGTTATACAGTGCTGGGGATGAAACCCAGGGCTTCCTGCATACCATAACTCAGCGACATACCCAGCCCCTGACTGAAGGACTTTTTGCCAAGAGAGGAAGGTCTTCAGGGCAAAAGAGCAGAATAAAACCTTTTCCTGGAGATGGAGAGACAGCTTTCTAGCTAAGAGCACTTGTTGCTCGTCCAAAGGACCTGAGTTCAGTTCCTAGCACCAGCAACCGACAGCCCACAGCGGCCTGTATCTCCAGCACCCGAGGACCTGACTCCGGCTGCTGGTCTCCATGGGAACCCACACACATGGTATATTCTCACAAAGACACATACATATAAGCAAAAGTAAGAATAGCTGGGCAGTGGTGGCACACGAGGCAGGAGGGTCTCTGAGTTCAAGGCTAGCCTGGACTACAGGGCGGGTTCCAGAACAGCCAGGACTACACAGAGAAACCCTATCTTGAAAAACCCAAATAAGCAAATAAATAAATAAAATAAATCTTAGAAAAAGAAAAAAAAAAACCTTTTCCTTACAGGACTGACTCCAAGAGCCGTCACCAAATTCAATAAATTCACCAAGATAATATGCAAACACACTTCTCTTTATAGTATGAGTGTATTTTCCTTATATGACTATGTCTTTAAAATGTGTAACAGACATTAATTCCAGATTCCAAGCCAATCAGTCTGGTTGAGGCACCCTGGAAGACAGTTACCCAAACCTTAGTGTGCACAAAGCACAAATCTAATTGCACTTGTCCCAAGGCCTGTGTACTGCACAGCACTGGGTGAATCGTTAATTCTGCTATCTAGGGCAACAGTGATTCCTAGAACCATGGGACACACAACCTGTACACGGTGGCCCTAGGATTAGTCATCTCACAAAAACAGACTCAAAATCACGGCTTCTCAAAGGACATCTGTGAGTATGGAAGCGATGAATGAGGGTAAGACCCTGCGGGAGGGCTCTCAAAAGTTAAGTGGGGATTTATACAGAAAATTTAAGAAATGAAAAAACACAAAATCTCCCCTGGTCTGACCTGGATGACAATCTTCAGAGCCTTCACTTTCTGGTCCGAGGCCCAGGCATCCTTCAGAGACTGGTTGAGCTCCTCTATGCGGTTCACATAATCCTGCTGGGTCAGGTTCAGCAGCTCCTTCTGGGATCCCTGTGGGCAGAAAAGGCAGAACTGTGACCACAGGAGGAAAAGGAAAAGCCTCATCCGACCACCACCTCCACACAGGACAGCCAGACACGGGACAGCCAGACGCTGGCTGTACTTTGCCACTCAGTGCCACATCTGTACCTCAGCCTGGCGCTAATGAAGCCAAGATCCTGACTAGACACTGACACACATAGGATATCAGAACTTACAGCTTGTGGACCTAGTGTGTGCAGCTTTGGTACTAGAAGCTCTGGCATAAAAATTTTGGGCTAGGGAGATGGCTCAGCAGTAAAGAACACTCACTGACCTTACAGAAAACCTGGATTCAGTTCACAGCACCCACATGGCAGCTCAGAATCAGCTGTCAACACATCCAGAGGATGTGATGCCCTCCTCTGGCTCCTTTGGGCACCAGGCATGCAAGAGGTATGTATATACATAAACATATACACATGCATATGCACATATATGCAGGCAAACACACCAGGCTTTTTTACATGGATGCTGGGAACCAAAGTCAGATCTTCATGCTTGTACAGCAAGCACTTTGCTGACCAAGTCATCTTCCTAGCTCCAAAGAGCTGGCAAACAAGCCCGTTTTTTCAAGCACACACAAGCAATTATAGGGTTCTGTAGACAACATTCAACAGGCCCTGTGTAAACAATGCTTCGTGGTGGGACCTTTGTGCCACAAAAAGCTGTTTCATTGGTGGTGACTCCACATGGATTTTACTGCTGACAGTGTCCCCAGATCACAGAAGGAGTGTTCCTATGTCACAAAGCGAAAAGAGGTCTCCAGAAGAACCAGTTCACACCAGGTTCCCCTGTGACTGGCCATTAGGCCCCAGCATCTTTCTCTGAACTAAGTCAGGGACCCAGGAGGCCGAGCACCGTGAACAGCCAGCCTTGGCAGAAGGGCTGGAGAGCCCCCTGTTCACTGTGCCCCATAAGTGGCCTGCTCACCTCCTCAAAGTCATCCAGCTCTTCCAGACGCGTCCGAACCTTCTCCGACATGGCAGAAGCCGCAGCCCCAGCTCTGCCTATGCAGGAGAGACATCGGTCATACAAGCAGTATTCTTATGCACCCACACCCAGCATGAGAGACACCTATCACATGTCACCATGAACTTGTCAGGAAACAATTCACCTCAGAATGCTGCAATGGTGGAGCAGCTTGAGCCTCCTCACAGGCTCAAGGTCTAGCAGAAGCTTTTTCCACCAGCAGCTGCCCCCAGAAGCAAAGTGGGTGGTCCCAAAAGCTGACACACCATCCCCAGTGCTGGCAGGAGCCAGGATGCAGATGATGGACTTGAAGTCACAGGCCAGACACAGGGCAAGGGGATCTGTCCAGGCTGCTGCTGCCATTCAAGCCTTCAGATAGAACTACACTGTGACCCATATGCCCAATAGTCACAACTTAAGGAAGAAATGATTATCAGAGTTTTAAAGGCTTTGAGTCCTCATAAGGGGAAAGTCATGGGGAAGCAGCTTTTCTCACAGCAGCAGGGGACGATGTGGAGTGTGGGGAGCAGGTGTACCCCTGTAACTCAAGGACCCCAATGCCTCACACCCATGGAAATGGCCAGGCCTTCCCTTGGTCTGAGTATGAACGTTAACAGTGTATACAGAACATGTCAACCACAGCTCTTTCCTCCCAGACAGCTGTAACCTGAACCTGTTCCCCCTACATAGGCTGGCTAACCTCCCGTCATACTGCTGTATACGGTAAACCTGCCTCCTATTCCACAAAGAGTTTCCAGGCTAATGTGACAATGTCTCCATCAGAGCACATGGCCCACTGATCCCAGCTTTTCTGTACATGTGTCTACTGTCTCTTCATTTCCCATCACCCCAGTCAGGCCAGTCCCAAAGCTGAGATCGCCATGGCAGTGCAGGAGCCACATCCACCCGGCCCACCCTCAAAAGATCCCAGCCTCCCAAAATGGTCCTGTGAGCACTCCAGACACTGCCCTAAGGAGATAAAAATGGCCCAATTGGCAAAAGTCGTTGCTATGAAAGGATGCTACTCTGAGTCTAAATGCCCAGAACACAAGGAAAAACACGAGATGGGACTGTACAAGCACCGTGAATCCCAGCACTGCCAGGGCAAACAGGACAACAGGCCCTGGCTACTCACCAGCCTAGCTAGCTCCAAACTCAGTAAGTAACTCTGTCTCAAGGGAATAAATGATAGAAGCAGACACTCAATGTCTTCCTCCTCTGGCCTCTGCACATGTATCTCCTGCCATACACACAGCACATACATGTACATGTGTATCACACACACATGTATACAAATATGACCTCATAGAAAACATTTCATATTCAAACCATCCAAATGATCTGCCTATTTTAGCTTGTTTCGACTTGCACCCATTCATGAAGATTCTACATCTACCAACAAATACTATATCACCTTAGGAGTGTGAGTGTGAGTGTGTGTGTGTGTGTGTGTGTGTGTGTGTGTGTATGTGTGTATGTGTGTATTTAAAGAGGGTATGACATAGTACAGGTTGGTCTTCAACTTGCTATGGTAGCTGAGGATGACTTTGAACATCTAACCCTCCAAATGTCCAGGGACCAAAGGCTGGTAAGACTGGGCACATGTGCCTTTTTCCTAAGGGACAAAGATCTAAGGCAGCAGTTCTCAACAAGAACTCCACATCCACATGGGTCACCTAAGACCATTGGAAAACACAGATATTTACATTATGATTTATAATCGTAGCAAAGTTACAGTTATGAAGTAGCAATGAAAACAACTTTATGGTGGGGGTGGGGGTAAACCACAATGTGAGGAAGTATATTAAAGACTCGCAGCATTAGGAAGGTTGAGAACCACTAATCTAGGGCAACGGGAAGGGTCTAGGGTTAGAGAAGATGCCTCAGACAGAAACATGTCTGACACACAGGCTCGAGGACCTGAGCTGGGATCCCTGGAGCTTGCCTGACAGCCAGCCAGTCTAGCTGAATCAGTGAGCTGAACGTTCAATGAGACCGTGTCTCAAAAATTAAGGTGAAAAAGCTAGACACACCTTTCATCCTAGCACTTGGGAGGCAGAGGCAGGTAGATCTCTATGAGCTCAAGGCTAGCCTGGTCTACGGTATGCAGAGTTTCAGGACAGCCACAACTGTCCCCATACCAATCAATTAATAAATAGTGAAGATCAAATGAAGAAGACACATAATGTCAACCTCTAGCTTCTACACAGACACATGTACAGGCCTGCCTACACACACAGGAGAAGGACCAGACACAGGAGCAGAGGGGTGGGGTCTAAAGCTATCCCGAGCTGGTGGGAATACTCTTGTCCTCTGTGTTCCTAAAGGTCAACCAGGAAGTCTGCCTTTTACTCCTGGGAGGCTCTTTGGTCTCTTTCCACTAATGCTCTACACGTGTGTTTCTGTCCAGCATCCACCAGCCTAACACTGTACAACATCATGACAGATGCATGACAACAGCTTCCCTTCCTCTGTGAATGATGCTGAAGGCACAGGCAGAATTTATCCATCAAACCAAACGCTCAATAAATTATAAAAAAACAAAACAAAACAAAAAAACAAAAAACGCTCATCTTACCTTTTTCTGATCCCATAAACAGATTCTGCAGAGACAAAAAAAAGAGAACAACCAATAATTAATGTTTTTCATTCTTTTAAATTACTTTAATTTTGTGGATGGGAATACGTGGCTGTGAGCACTGGTGCTCTCAGAGGTGTAGGGTCCTCTGAAGTTAGTCTTACAGGCAGCCGAGCTGCCTGATATAGACAACTGGAATTGAACTCACATCCTGTGGAAGGCTGCTGAAAACCACCTAGAAGTTGAATTTCAACTCATGTGGGGACTAGCCAAGCGGGACATCAAGCAGCACAAGTTTTGATCTTCTAATAGCACTGAGTAATAGACCCACTTTGGACATCCTTAAGTCAAAGTTTCCCAGCCATCATGCCCCTGCCTCTGTGGGTTGTACAGCTTCACTCTAGGGGGTCTAGCCTATGCACTGTGGAGTTTTACAGCCTCTCTGACCTCCACCCACAACATACCAAGCAACCCTTAGAGTTGTACTAGGTAAAAATAACTCTAGATATTTCCAGACGACCCTCAGGGGTTAAAAGGAAGGACTGACACCCGAGAGTGCTTCTCTGAATTAACCTATGCATTCAAGAAAACAGAAGAAACACCGTTCAATAGCCAATCAGTTCTTATCATCCTGTGTAGCTCGCCCTGTGGAAAGCAGTCGAGAGGAGGGCTGGGGGAGAACACGCTCAGTCATGAAGCTACTCTGCCCAGGCAGCCGCCCGTGCAGCTATATACTATCCATCGCCACCTCCAAAACCACAGGAACTGCAGTGCTGAGGGGACTACCAGGAGGCCCCCTGGGATGAGAAGGGCTACAATCGTCTTTTTGTTTTCCTTCTATCAACTTAACACATAAGGCAACACTAGAAATATCAGAGGCGTGAGACAGAAAGATTGGAAACCTGGTCCGAGAAGTTGTCACTCCGGCCCTGGACTCCCCACCTCCAGACCTCCTCAGAGTAGGGAGAGACATGACGTTCTTAATGCTGTCCAAGGGAAGAACTTGGGTTGCAAGTGCTGAACCTGACCATAACTAGCACAGTTGCTCTGGGGTTGGTGCTGCTCATCTGAATGTGTGAGTAACTTGCCTGGGGCAAAGGGAAGGCTCCTACTTTACACAGGCCCCAGACACAGCCAACTACTCACCCACTAGCCACTCCAAGAGCAAACTTCCAGCTCCAAAGGGACACAGGGAGGGAGCTGAACCCTGCCCTCTCCTCTTCCCTTCTTAATTCATGCCTTTAATCAAACGCCTTTATGGGCACCCTCCCCAAGGGGCCCATGCTGCCAATTCCTTTTCAGAACTGAACTGCACCCCTGACCCTTAACACGCAATTGTTTAAGAAGCCAATTAGCACACAAACAACACTGACATAAGAGAGGAACCCTAGGGTCCGGGAGCTGGACCACTGGGCTAACATGCAGCTGGGTACTCACAATAGACAGCTTCTCCGTAGTCGTGTACCGGGCAAGGATTTCTCCCCGTTTGTTGGCCCAGGGCTCAAAATCAGGTCCCACAAAGGAGTTCTCATCCTTATCACGTTTCTTTCTGGAGCTGTCCTGAGGAGGGCAAGGCAACCACCTCAGGATGGATGCTTCTGTTGACATTGTTGGTTTTGTTTCTGAGCATGCTAGACAAGCACTTTATCACCCGGCTACACTCCAGCCCCAACAATGCTTCTGTTTTCTCTCTTTTTCTTTCTTTTTTTAAAAGGTCTTTTGAGACAGGATTTCTTTGTGTAGCCCTGGCTATCCTAGAACCAGACTGCTTTTGCCTCCCAAGTGTTGGGATTAAAGGCATGGGCCACCACCACCAGGCCACAATAACGGTCAAACCTCAGATGGCACTCCTCAGGCAGTCTTTGAGGCAAGATCTCTCACTGGCCTAGACTTTACCTATTGGGCCAAATTCGCTGGCCAAGGAAGCCCTAGAGATGCATCTTTCCCTCCCCACACTGGGATTATAAGAATGTACCACTGTGTCCAACCTTTTTGCATGAGTTCTTGGGACTAAATGCAAGTCTTCATGCTTTCGAGGGATGGAGGTGAAGATGGGGTCCTTGGAGCAGTTTAGCTAGCTATACTAGCTAACTCTGTGTGTCTGGGTTTAAGTGAGACTCTTCCTCAACATACTAACATGTAAAGTAGAGAACAATCCAGAAAGACAGCTGATGTCAGCCTCTGACCTCCAAGTACAAGCAAGTATGCACGCATTCCCCACACACATGCAAACACGTATACACATACATAATAAAAATGTTTCACTTAGAATACAGATGACACAGTGGTTAAGAGCACTTACTGCTCTTGCAGAGCACTCATGTGGCAGCTCACAATCATCTCTTAGTTCCAGTAGATAATGCCCTCCTCTGACCGCCACATGCCTGTGTCTAGTGCATATCTACACATGCAGGCACAACAGTCATACACATAAAATAAACTGAAAAAAATTGTTTCCCAACAATTCAAATAGCGAAAAATTAAAATAGCTGTTAATATTCAATCAAGGAAACAGGTGAGCCTTAGCATTGCTGGCAGGAATACGGACCACTAAGCCTTTGAGGGGATGGCTCAGTGGCAGCACTCAGAATGTCATACATCCACTGCCTTCATCCAGTAGGGAGTTTCTAAGACGCTCCCTTGCACAGACCCCTGCACACAGGCATCACGAGGTATGTATATATTCAAGAGACACTGGTGTGTTTTCAATACCAGCAGACACCCTAGACTCAATGGGCAGCAACAAAGGAATCAGAACACAATGCAGCCATGCAAAATAACAAGGTCAGAATATGAAAAGTTAACTAAGACATACTGTCAAATCAAAAATTTAAAATGAAAAAGACTGAGGGGCTCAGGATCTAGGGATATGGCTCAGTTGGGAGAGTGCTTGCCTAGCAGCCACAAAGCCCAGGGTTCAGTCTCCAGCACTGAACAAACTGGGAGTGGAGGCTCTGACTAGTAAACCTAGCCCATGGGAAGTGGAGGCAGGGGAATCAGAAGTTCTAGGTCATTCTCACATAGGCTAGTGTGCACTGCATGAAACCCTGTCTTTAAAAAAATTAATTAATAAAGAAAAACATAGAGAGACCTCACAGATCTCTCCCAGCCTCTCTCAGACAACATTCTTAATCAAATTCCTGTGGATATCTGGATGTCCTGAACTGTCACAATCAGAATGCCCCAAAGCATTACTGGTGAAACTTCAAACCACCATCCCTGCAGGTAAAGACCTGACACCCATGAGGCCTGCACTGGCCAGGCTGCCTTACTGTGACTGTTACTGTGGCTGCTGGGTCCGAGGTGGCTGCGAACATGGATAGCGGGTCGGTGCCATCGAGGACGCTGCTCAAAGGATCGACCACGGAGCTGGAAGAGGAGGAGGAAGTGGATGAAGTGCTTCCTTTCCGGCTCACTTTCTTTGTCTTTGACTCAGTGACCTGTGGAGAAAGTTGTGCAGTGGAGGTCATCTGACTGGCTGTGTCAGGGGACAGTCAACTGGGCCACTTAATCTTGTTGTGGAAGCTAGACTGACCAGGCATTTGTGGCAGAGGCGATGCTGACATTCTGTGAAAAACTGGCATGACCTAGTTATCTCCATGGCCTCCACAATGCAGCTGGTCCCCAGAAGGACCAGCCATGCCCAGGTGCTAGGAACTTAAGGCTCATTCCCACCCTCCAGGGAGGACAACACCAGCAATGGAGTTAAAGCAATCAACCTGACCACTGAGAGCTTCCCCATAGTTAAATCCCTTATTGAAAGCACTTGAGGAACATCTGTGATGATGACGGGGGGTGGGGGGTGGGGGAGGACAGGAGGCTGTGCTTGGGGAACAGAAAATTTCCAGGTTATCCCTCATACATCTCCTCCAGGACTCTGCCTCCAGCTGGCCAGTGGGTTCTCCATATTGTCCTGTCCAGGAAAGCTTCCTTGAGCTCTGCACACAGCCTCTGCAAATTAACAGAGCCCAAGGAAGGACGAGACCTTATAAAGGTAAGATGAACAGGGCATACCCCTGACCTGGCCCTAGTATCTGAAGTGGGGTCTGGTGGTAGCTATCTCTAAGTAGGGTTAGACCCAAAGTATCCCCCAAAGCTGGTGTCTGCTAGAGAATCGCTTGCTGGTGTCTGATATGTGGGGTCACAGTGCATTATGTATGGATTATGAGTAGAATGGTAGATACTCATAACAGCTTAGTCTGATGCTGCTCGTATTCAAATGCTAAACTCTGTAGCCAAGATCTGGTTGCTCCGAGACAAGCAAATCCTCATGCATATCAGCTCTGTTGTAGAAACCTTGCCCTCCAAGTCATCCATGGCTGGTTAGTAAAGATGCCTACAGCCTGAGGCTGGGCAGAAGAGAGGTACATCGAGCTTCCATTCCCAGGCTTTGGGTCTGAGGCAGGGACCATGAGGAAAGACAAGAGAGAAGAGATGGAAAAAAGAAGCCATGGGGTAGGAAGATCATGAGCCCATGGCCATGAGGGCCGGCCTGTTGGAGGAGGAGTGGCCTAGGTGAAACATGGCAAGTCATATCTCAGGACCATTGTCAGGGAAGTAGACAAAATAGCATAGAGGGTTGACATCTGCCCAGCAGATATAAAGGTTTTGTGTCTTATCTGAGAACTAAATGATCAAAGATAGGGTAGAAACCCCCAAATATTTACCACAACAGATACTGGCTTCTGGTGTCTGGAACACTGTTGGAATCAGTTGGACGGGCACCCAGTTGGTGGGCAGAAGCAGAAACTGCTCAACATGCAGACCAACCACACAGCTGGTGGCAGACTGAGAACGCAGAAGACTTCTTTTCCATTGAAACAGTTAAGTGTAAGTACATTCTTTGGTTCGGTTCCTTACTTGTCTTTAAGACAGGCTCTCACTAGGTAGGCCAGACAGCACAGTGCACAGCATGCAGCCAGAGAGCCACAGGGCTGGTTTGCATTTGCTTGTGAGTGGATACTGAACCTGGTTGCTGGGCTAGAGCAGCAAGTGTGTAACTGTGAAGCCATCGCTCCAGCCCTGGGAATCTGCTTTCTAATGAGGTCATCATGTCATCTGCCTGGTGACAATAGTCTTGGCAGGATCACAAACCACACATGACTGACACTCAGTGTCCAAGGTTCTATGACTGAAGGTTCAATAAAAATCTCAGCATTTGCCGGGCGGTGGTGGCGCACGCCTTTAATCCCAGCACTTGGGAGGCAGAAGCAGGCAGATTTCTGAGTTCGAGGCCAGCCTAGTCTACAGAGTGAGTTCCAGGACAGCCAGGACTATACAGAGAAACCCTGTTTCGAAAAAACCAAAAAAAAAAAAAATCTCAGCATTTGTCTTGGGGTGTGGCTCAGTGATGGATCACCTGACTAGTAAAACCCTAAACCTGCATCTGAGCTGGCCGGTGTAGACTGTCGTTTCTTTTTTTTTTTTTTTTTTTTTTTTTGGTTTTTTGGGCAGAGTTTCTCTGTGAAGCCCTGGCTGTCCTGGAACTCACTCTGTAGACCAGGCTGGCCTCGAACTCAGAAATCTGCCTGCCTCTGCCTCCCAAGTGCTGGGATTAAAGGCATGTGCCACCACCGCCCGGCCATATACAAGTTTTATATCAGAACCTTGGAAGGGTTTCGGTACCTGAAGCCAGGCTTCCCAAGACAGCAAGGGATGGACAAGGGGCAGCAATACTTGTTAGTGAGTGCTGACACAGTGCAGGGTCAGCGGGACCAGCAAGTCTCTTGTCAGCTCTCATTTTGTTTTACTGAACAGTCTAAGATGCTCATTGGGTCAGCCCCACTCCCCAGTCCACCCTGCACCCGGCCCCTTCCATCCCAACTCCACCTGCCCCAGGTAGCCAGGGTTGCCCCTACTGTTAAAGGTCAGGAAGCTTCCAAGTCAGGAGTCCCCACCCTTTCCCCACAACAACTTCGAGGACAGGAGAAGGTGGGAGTGCAGAGGGTGACAGGAAGTTAACCTAATGAGATAGGTTGATTGACACATGCATAAGCTGTTGCCACTAGCAACAAGGGACTGGGCCCTGCTGTAGGGAGCCTGCACAGGACTCACAGTTATGGGCTTCAGTGGGTGGTAGTCCCCACACTCCAGAGGCACTGTCCCCGACCTGCAAGACGCCAGCTCCGCCTTGTAGTTCCTGTTCCGGGAGTGCCTGTGAACAAGCAAGACACTTGGCGAATCAGAAACAAGGTAACACCAGATGGGTGACTGAGACCTAAAATGTTATCTGGACTCCAGTGACAGGGGGATCAACTTGGAGCACATAATGTTGCTAGCAAGAATAATACAAAATGCTAAATTAAAAAAAACATAAAAGGCCGGGCGGTGGTGGCGCACGCCTTTAATCCCAGCACTTGGGAGGCAGAGGCAGGTGGATTTCTGAGTTCGAGGCCAGCCTGGTCTACAGAGTGAGTTCCAGGACAGCCAGGGCTACACAGAGAAACCCTGTCTCAAAAAAACCAAAAAAAAAAAAAACATAAAAATTATTTTATTGTTTATTTGAAATCACTATGTGGCCCAGGCTAGCCTGAAACTCACTAGGCAGTGGAACATGACCTTGAACTCCTGATGTTCATGAAACTCCACCTTCCAAGCCCTGTAATTACTGGCATGCTCAGTCACATCCTGTTTAACCCATGCTAGGGATGAAACCCAAAACGAGTGTGCCAGGTGGGGTCTCTAGTAACTAAGCTATAAAAATAATTCTCAAGCTGTCTGAAGGTATAAACTCTGCCAATGAATCCTGGATGTGTAAGGCCAGACCCAGTGCACAGGGGAGCTTACTAAGAGGAGGCCAGTTTCCCCAGCCCTGTTTCCACAGTGCTGGCTGACTGGTGGCATGAACCAAGCAAAGGGCAGGTGGCTGCTGGGAGGCCAGGCAGCCATAGCTTGGAGCAAACCTCCAAGAGCTGAACAGACATAGCAGGGCTCAGGGACCTCCTGGTGCTGGACAGATATGGCAGTGTCAGGAGACCTGGACTCAGGGACCTCCTGGAGCATAACATAGCAGGGCTCAGGGTCCACAGCCAGGGCTTGGAGGAGATGCCCCAGAGGAACAAGTTCCTGAGAAGCAAGAAAAAGTCCAGGCTGGGCATGTGCAAAAGACCGGAGGCAACTAGAGAAAAGGCAAAGGCAAATGTAGCTTTATGAGCGCAGGAAAGATAAAGGGGAAGGCTCCGTGAGCAGGACAATGAGAGGGAGGAGCCAGAGCACTGGGCAGAGGAGGAAGAACAACATGGCAGGGGGACTGCAACACATGAGGGGTCTGGAAGAAAGGCCACACACACATAAGCAGAGCCCGTCCCTACAGGAGCAGGGAAAGAAGTGTCATCTCTTCAGAGTCCCCCCAGCACACAGATCTCATCACTAGGCCTCCCTTTAGCGAGAACCCCTCAGGTAGTTTTACCCACAATTCCCTCTCGGTAACTTCCTACCTGCTTCTGGTGGCCCTTTGCTACTACTCTGTCCCCTGCACTGTATGTGCAGCCACGCCCATCCCCTCTCTCCTACAGCATGCTCCACCATAGCAGCCTCACCACCACCATCACCACCAAATGCAATCTTACTTCCTCAACAGTTGCCAAAATCAGACCTTCCCCACTAACAAAGATATAGGTACCTCCCATTAGTACACTCCAGAGCAGTTTTTTTCCTGATTGCACAGGCCAATTCCCACCTCTAGTCTCCCTCCTTTAGGGAAAGAGCAAACTCTAAGAGGCCAGGAAACTTCCTTGGCTTCCAAGTCCCTAGAATTGACCTGGTGGGCTGCACGACCCCCATGTTCTCAGATGAAAAGCGGACTTGGAGTATTAAATAAGACGCTAACGCTGAGCACTTAGCACGTCCCTTGAGAAATGCGATCTCTAGAGCAGAGGCACACCACCCATGGGCCTCATCAGCTCCCTCATCCATCGACAGGAACAACACCAGGAAGCAGACGGACACAATTCTGTCTCTCATATTAAGGAGCAAGAAGTCAGTGGGCAAAACTGAAAAATGCCCATGTACTCCCACACAGAGCAATGTTTTGTGTTTGCTCGAGAGGGAAGACTACAAAGACCATAAGCACTGGCAGAGCTGTGGTCCCATCGGTATGCCTAACGAAAATATCAAAGGTTAAACCAGCAAGATCCAGTGCCGGAAGCCCACGGTGTGATCTAAGAGGCCCACAACACCACGCTGATGTGCTGTGTCCTGAAGTGATCTCTTAAGAGTCTGCAGGACAGAGTGTCGGGCCAAAATAACACCAGAGGGTTCGTGTTGGTTATGTTTCAGGCCTAGAACCTACATATTTCTTTCATACTCATATGCAGGCATTGTAAGTTACATCCCATCATTTGAAGAGAAAAGCCCCTGAGATGCAAGGTCTCCAATCCCCAACCTCATTATCATCTGCTTATCCTGTGTGGGTTCTTTATCGACACAAATCACCGGCTGCAACCTAAAGGTCATCTCACTTCTAAGCACAAAAAGGCCCGTACGCCAGTCACTTGGGGACACACTATTCCTTCCTGCTTGGTGAGTTCCTATGCATCCTGCAAGACTCAGTAGAAGGCTCTTCTCTGCAGTCTACCCAGGGTGCCAGTGGAGTTGACTGACTGCCCTCTCTCTCCTTTGGGCCTGTCCCCTCTCTTCAATGTTCAACTACATTGACCGTTCCCTAAGGCAAAGAAGCATGTCTGAGGGCTCTACACAGAGTAAGGTGAATGGCCCCACTTTACAGATAGAAAAGGCTAATCTCCTTCAGGTGGGCTGAGGAGCTCAAGGGACAAGCGACCAAGTCTGCCGCGTGTAGACTCCGGGCGAGTTCATCCCCTTCCCCAGAACTCCCAGGCGTGCCAACTTCTCCCAAGGAAGCGGAAGCCTTGGATCGAGTAGGTCTGAGTGAAGGCGCTGCGGAACAGCGGCGATCAGAGTACTGACAGCAGTTCTGCTCTTCCGTAGTCCTGACAAACCGGGCGGGGATGGAGGCCACCGATTCCAACAGGGACTGCTGCCTACCCACAGAGAGAACAGCTAAGCGCAGCCCCTCCCCGAAGCCCACTCGCCGGTTCTTCCTTACCAGGGAAAGACAGCCATCTTCCCAGTCACATGATCCCCTGTTTTCCGCGTCCAGCCCCTTTTCTCTCATCCAGGGACGCTCGGCCCCGCCCTGGCCGCCATGATTGTAAAGGGCAACTTCCGCTCTGAAGATCCTCGGCCCCGTCATCCGCCATGATTGTGAGGGGCAACTTCCTACGGATTACGATCCTCCAAGTTTGTGTAGGGCAATGGCCCGGCAAAACCCAAGCTCCGTCATCCGCCTTGATTTGATTTTTTGTTTTATTTTGTTAATAGAAATCCATTTGCCTCTGCCTTCCGAATGATGGGATTAAAGGCCTGCATCCCCATTCCTGGCTTAAGTCACATTCGTATTATGTAGATGTCTGTCGGTGCACGGAGATCCGTGCATAGCGGACAGGTGTTGATCCTTTCTTCACTTGGCATTACCCTCTGAGCCATCCCATTGACACCCCCCCCTTTTCCGCCCCTAGACTTGTAAGAGGTAGGACTCCACTGGCTGCTTGGCCCGCCTGCGCCCTCTAGTGACACGTAGAAGTGCACACATCTATCCCTGCTGAGGGCCAGACCCAAGTGATTGTGAAGCGGATTCACTGTTTGGCGTGGGTTCTCTCCGTGCTTCATAGAGATGATAGAGATGAACACTTTGGGCTTTTTCCCCCGCTACTGACAATATACGTCCGAATACGAGCAAGCAATCTTGACCACAGAACTTTGGCACTCCTGTTTTGTGTCCGCATGCCCACATATACACATCCTTATGGATGAATTACGATCCCTTCTCAACAGAAACCTCTGGAGTATCTGTCATTAATCACTTGTTTTTTGGAAAACTGGAGCTCAAAGCTAGTGAGTGCCTGAGCTTGGGATTCAAACTCTCACTCAACTAAGAATGGGTTTACACTGGGAAATTACTATCCAAGTGCATTTCCTGATAGAGAGGGCACCATCTTCTTAAGCGTTCTGGAAAAGGCAATTGAGTATATTTCAACTAGGACTGAGTTTTTCAGAGTCTATTTCTTCCTCTGTGAAACGAAGGTAACTGATAAGGCTGACAGGAAGTTATAAAATGCCTGTCTCCGGGTCAACCCTCAGAAGCTGTGGTTAATAAGGCAGGCGAGACAGGCTGATCTACGTTGGCCTTTGCTCCTCGGAGCCGCTCTCTGTAGCGCTGACCCTGGTCTATAACAGAGCAGGGCATCTACTTTAAATGGGCATGCCACTTGCCTCTTGCCTGGGGACTGTAAAACAGTCTGGGATAGTTGTGTGGACATTTCTAGGGGACTGATGGTTCCTTTGAAAGAATGGTAGCAGTTTGGGTGGTGAGAGGCAACCATGAGGCATTAAAGGCCAGGGAATAGTACCAACTGTCCTTTGTACATTCAGCAAACCCATCCCATCTTGTGTATAAAATAGATGATGGGGAACCATTGTAAAACAGGCTATGTTTCTGGAAAGGATAGATAACTAAGGGGTTCTTCCTATCACAGTCTAAGACCATGGTTTTGTGGCATCTTTGTCAGTGTCCCCATGGAACTGGAAAATCTGGGCTGGAGAAATGCTTCATCTGGTAAGCCCTTGCTGTTCTTCCAGAAGACCCAGATTTGATTTCCAGCACCCACAGTGGGTAGCTCACAACCTTCTGTATCTCCAGTCCCAGGAGATCTGATGCTCTCTTCTGGCCTACACAGGTACATGTAGTATGGAAACAGGAACACAAGCAAAACATTCATATACATCAAATAATTAAGTCTAAAAAAAATTCTTTTAAAGAAACTGGAGAGTTGAGGGCCATGGAAAAACACTGAGCGTAGAGAGCTGAGTTTTAAATGGAAGCATTTTATTCATTTGCTTATACTGTTGTTGAAAATTGTTTCACTTCGTAGTCCTGGCTGGCCGGAATGTATTGATCCTCTGCCTTAGCTAGGGTTGCTGGCATGGGACACTGCACTCAGCTTCTAATTGTATGTGTGTGGCATGTACACATGTGTGATTGCCCATGTATGAGCATATGGAGGTCAGAAGTCAATATCTAGTATCTTTCTTTTTTGTTGTTTTTTGTTTGTTTGTTTGTTTGTTTGTTTTTGAGACAGGGTTTCTCTGTGTAGCCCTGGCTGTCCTGGAACTCATGCTGTAGACCAGGCTGGCCTCGAACTCAGAAATCCGCCTGCCTCTGCCTCCCAAGTGCTGGGATTAAAGGCGTGCACCACCACTGCCCAGCAGTATTTTTCTTTATTGCTCTCCAACTTATGTTTTGAGACAACCCCACCATATCCCCACCCTTTCCTTGAATTTGAAGCTGTCTGGCCAGCAAGCCTGTCGCTCCCACACACATACAGATATAAGGGCTGCAGGTGCACCATTTGCCATTTTTACTTAGGCACTGAGGATCTGGAAAATCTTGATGCTTTCACAGCAAGCTTTACCTAGATAGCTCCCCAAATCCAATTTTAAAATCTATTTATATGTGTTGGTGTTTTTCCTGCATGTATGTCACTGTGCCATGTACCTTTGGAGGCCAGAATTGGATTTCAGGATTCCCCTGGAGCTGGATAATTGGTAGGCCACCATGTGGGTGCTGAAAATCAGACTGGGTCCTCTGGAAGAAGACCAGTGCTCTTAATTGAGCCATCTTATCTCTCTGATCTTCAACTTAATTTAGCTGATATATGTCAGGTCTGACACAACTCTTCCTCTTAGGGATGTTGTTACAGTTATCAATGAAGACACTGCATCACATTCTATGCCAAGATCTTTGTTTTTAGAACTTGATCTTACTCCACTTATTTGGTTCTAGGGGTGAAACCTAAGATTTAGTGCATGCTTAGTGAGCTGGTTGGTCTTATGTCTACTTGATACAAGCTAGAGTTTTCTGAAAGGAGGGAACCTCAATTGAGAAAATGCTTCCACAAGATAAGGCTGGGAGAGGACCCAGCCCATTGTGGGTGGTGCCATCCCTGAGCTGGTGGTCCTGGGTTCTCTAAGAAAGCTGGCTGAGCGAGCCATGACGAGCAAGGCACTCCTCCATGGCCTCTGTGTCAGCTCCTGTGTCCAGGTTCCGGCCCTGTTTGAGTTTCTGTCCTGAATCCTTTGGATGATGAAGTAATGTGGAAGTGTAAGCAGAATAAACCCTTTCCTCCTCAACTTGCCTTTTGGTCACAGTGTTTCATGACAGTAGAAACCCTAAGACACTAGGCAAGCACTCTCCCAACAGCAGCAGCCCTACTTATCTTTTAGAACTGTTGCCTTTCGCAGGGCAGTGGTGGCTCACGCCTTTAATCCCAGCACTTGGGAGGCAGAGGCAGGCAGATATCTGAGTTCGAGGGCAGCCTGGTCTACAGAGTGAGTTCCACGACAGCCAGGGCTACACAGAGAAACCCTGTCTTGAAAAAACAAAAAACAACCAAAAAAAAAAAAAACCAAAAAACAAAAACAAAAAAAAACCCAACCCTTTCATGGGGAGCTGAGCATAGCCTGGCATAGACTGGAAGTTGCTCAGGGTACAAGGACCTCTAATGGAAACAGACAGTCCTTCATTCTTAAAATCTGATACATCACAGCATCAGTGATTCCCAGCTATTCCCTTGCAGATAGCCAAATGCAACATCGCAGCTGACAGCTAGCTAGTAGGCTAACATTAGCCCCCAATATGAAATGCAGAGGCCATCACTGCAAGCCACTTGAGCATCCCCTCTGTCCCCTGCCTCTCTACTGCTCTTGGCTGGGGTCTCACTCCTAAGAAGCAAGGACATTATCGCTGGAGCAGCAGACAGGCTTCCTGTGAAACAATGGCCTATGCCTATCCTGGGGCTCAAGCTGTAAACATGTCATCTGAGTTACTGTTTTAGCCACATGTTCTTCAGCTGATTCACTTGGCTAAAAATAAAAAAGATGCAACAAGATTTCCTTTAGGATGAAAAGTTTATTTTGCCTTTTACCTAGAAGCAAAACTAGTGAAAATCAAAGTATAAAAATAAATACAATTCACATTAATAGACATTCCAGTCAAAGTAAAAATAACAATAAAAAATAATATATATAAATAAAACTTCTTCAAAAGCACAAAACAGTGTCTGGCACTTTTCTGAGAGAAAACTGTGAACATTCAAATGTAAAACACACAAACTTTTACCATGAAATTAAAAACACACCAGTTTCTCATCCTTAATCTAAAAGTAGTTATAACTTTCCAAAACATAGTTCACTTTAGCTAATTCATATTAATATACACAAACTTTTAGCTCCTCTTCCTTACTGAAGAGCCCACAATGATACAGTTGGCGTCCTGAGTGTCTGGAACGATAAAGCAGTTTATCATACTTGAAAGGTAACACTGAGGTATACCTTTCCTATGAGTAAAAAAATTTGTAACCTGGACCTTTTTTTTTTTTTTAACCTGGACCTTTTTCAACTGTCTTCTTTTTCTCTTCAATGAATGGTAAGTCTCAATAAAGGAAATCAAGTTTATACTCAGAGTGGGTATTTTGTAACTTCTGGCTGGGTATAAAAGTCAAATCTCAGATTGAAGAAAATCAGAAAAACAATCTTTATCTCCATATTCCTAAAAAGGTTATTAAGAATATATAGGCTACATCTTCAAAATACTACTATCTTTAAAATTCAAGTTATAAGGTTCAAATATACACAATCCCAATGTTACATAAGAAGCACAAAGCCCTTTTCAAAATTATTTGGTGACATCCTGTTTCATAAAATCCTGTTTTCTTGGTACATTGTTGGTTGATGCGTTTAATGTTAGTCATGAAAGCCATAAATCTGAGTACCTTTACTACAGGTTTTAAACTAGACAGTATTACTATGCTATCTGAGATACGGATTTCTTATTAAATAGCCCTTTATTCTCTCCTATGTAAAGCATGCTAGAAAAAGAAGACTGAAGAAACAAACAACATAGACTAACTAGAACTAGCCACATACGCTCTGGTGCCCCATCACAGTGCATGCCCAAGTGCTGTGTTCATGAAAACTGTGCGAGCATCTCTAAACTTGCCACCTTCCAGGATAGTGTGTATAGTCTAGTCTATGTACACCTAATAGTAACACACATGAAAGCTAACACTTCTGTAAAACAACTAGCT